GAAAACGATTAATCGATAATTAAATTAGTCATCGATTATTTTAATAATCGATTAGTCGTTGATTAATCGATTAATCGTGGCAGCCCTAATCTCAACCTATTAACTTTTGGATAGACTCCAGGAAGTTTTTGCTGAGTCATCTCTGCTTGATGAAGCCAGCTAAAATACAGAACACGTTGCTTTAACATAGGCTGGATTTGAGAAATTAACATTTGTTCATCAGGAGTTTGTAATCTCAGTTATTGTTATTTTGGGTGAGATTTTCACCTTAATCTAGTCTTGCTGCTGCTTCTGTTCTTAGCATTGATGTGAAATGTTTAACCAACCCGACGTTTGGGGTTTGCTGAGAGTTTCGTTTTCGCAATTAAGTGTTTATCCCGCCCAATGAGGCGGCTCGTTCCTCTCTAAAAAGCTGCGCCTGACCTCYCCAGGTGGTCTCATCACATCCCAAATTAACTCCCCTGAAGGCTATCGCCTCTAATTCTCCAACCCTGGCTTCCCCAGCCTTGTGAGCTGAATGCACAAGAGACATAAATTGTGTTTATCCATTGCAAGCAKAACACAAAAAGTGATGCAATTAAGATGAAACGATGGCGCCTGATCAGGGTCCCGTTTCTGCACCGGCTCTGACAGCCCAAAGGTGAATTTGTCAGCCACGACAGATGATTCAAGCTCACTGTCTTACATTGCAATATAATGATGAATCAGCAAGAACCAGAAAAACAGGCACGCATCTATTAAAGGCTACCGCACAATGGTGAAAGCTAAATCTCCCTATTCTGAGCTCCAAGCCTCTTTATCTTGTTCTGAAGGTCATCTCGAGTCGATGCTGCCCAGTTTCTGTCTTTCCTGGGATCCGGTCCCACATCCCGCAGCTCCGAACACGTCTCAGTGCTGCACCACAGCTTAATCTCCCAAACGCAGCCGTACGTGGGCCAAGGCAATCAGGTGGGCTTCAYGAGCCGAGCTAAGCATTTCCAGCTCCGGTGTCGAGACAATCAAACAGACACCGAATGTTCTCTAATATTTGTTCAAATAATACAAAAAAAGCCATTAAAATATTAACCAACGCAGCAGAGATCAGCTGCTCAAACATTGCCACATGCTCGTTTATTAGCTCGAGCCAATGTGCTTTACGCTCACGCCGACTGTGACTGATGGCGCTGTAGCAACGCTGAGCGCCGCCCATAAACAATATGGAGCTGAGCTCAACTCATCAGCTCACGGGTCACCGGGCTGGAGGGGCAAAAGAAAACGGTTCCGCCACTAATGCCTTTCAGGACAATTAATATCGGGACCGAAACCTGGGAAGATAAATGGCTAACTGCAAAGCTGTTCGCTAACATGAGCTCATAATTAAATGTTTACTGTCAAGGTGACCCCAGGATGTGTGCAGCATAAAGAATAACTGATTGTCAATAATCTGCATGAGAACACAAGATTTAGACCTGGTTTGGTGGTTTGACTGCTTGCATTTACCAAGATGCTTAATGCAGAGCAAAATATGTCTGTAATCCAAGCTATTTTTAGGTCTAAATGCACTTAAATAAATTCTCTAAGGAATCTGTTCCATGGCTGGAAACAGGTTGAGGGTGTTCGGCTTGAGACCCAAACTGATCTGCTCTGACAGCCTTATATGACTTTTCCTCCTCCGGTGTGTCCATTTTCACAGACTTTCTCGAATCAGAGCTTTTAAACACACCTGCATTCACTCTGCATCATTGAAAGTGCTCTCAAGAACAACAACAACAGAAAATAATGTAATAGATTGCTGAAAACAGGGCCGGTCGTAGCCAATTTAGCACCCTAGGCAGGATTTCAGGTGGTGCCCCTTGTTCAATTTAATGAATTTCACTGCGACTGTCATGTTTGTAAATGAGAAGTGGTTCTTAAACAGTTTACCTGGATAAATAAAG